GCTGCACTCTAGTGTTATTTTTACCTTAACTATTATTCATATAGTAGTTTGTTTATTTATTTGTAGTTAAGCACAAAGCTACACAATAGAATATCTGTCCTGTGCCCACCCGGTTTTTATGATAATTTACCGGTAATTATTTTTTTTACTCTTGCACAAACCTACTTAATAATATCGTAGACTATTTGTTTATGATATTTTATACATGTATAAAAATATTTGATTAAATACAGTGGAACCACAGAAATTATTTAAGTCTTACGTTAACCACGCAACACAGTTATGTAATGCTGTTAAACATTCAACACATACACGTAACGAGGTTAAACAATGTAACACAGATATACTGCTGTTAATCGTGCAACATAGTCATGTATTGTTATTAATAATTTTATACACCATGTATTGTTGTTAGCCATTAACACAGTCGTATAATGTTATTGATCATGCAACACACCCATATAAAGACGTTAAATAAAATATTGACGTTAACTATATGTAATGAGGTTAAAAAATGTAACACCGCTGTAATGCTGTTAACCATGCAACACAGTTACGTATTATTGTTACCCACGTAATACACTGTATAGTGCTGGTAATCACGTAACACAGTTATGTATTGTTGTCCCCCACGTAATACACCATGTATTGTTGTTAAGCAGATAACACAGTCGTGTGATGAAAACAACAACAATAATGAGGAAAAGTGTAATGCAATAATTATGTTTTAAATTTTATTCTATGCGTTCTATATATATATATATATATATACATGAAGGTAAATTTTTTTTATTACACTACTGTATGAACTTCCATGATTATTCTTAGAAGTTCTTCCGACATAATTCCTGGAATCTTAGTTGCACCTAACCCAGGGATGTGTCTGTTTTCTTTAGATAACAACTGTCTTCCGCAAGTGACAAGTGCCTTCCGGAATTAAAATAGTATGGTTTTATATATGCAGTATAAAGTGTAATGTTCAAAATGGTTATGCAAAATTAGTGATACTTTGAGGGTTTTGAGATGGCTCGACTGGGTAATGAAAAAAACTTTATTTTAAATGTACAACGTTTCAACTTTGTCATCCTCAGGTACAAGTAGTTAACTGAGATACACAAATATAGGTAGGGGCGCTCAAATCCACAGTGTCTCACATAAAACTTCATCACCGTCTGCTGGTGATAAGGTTGTTGGTTATAAAGAAAAGGGATTCCAAAAATAGATATAAAACAAGTTTACTAAAACTGGACAACATGGGGCAACAGCTAAAACGTAACCTCTAAAGTATATATTCTAGTTCAAAGTTGATATTGACAATCTAATAAAGCCTGAGATGTCAAGGTTAAAAATGAATATTGTTAAACGAATAATTAACAAAATACCTAATCAGCCACCTATAAACTAAACAACGTAGTTCTAAATTTAAATCGCAAACAAAGTGTTTGGTTCGTGGCTCAAGGCAAAGTTCAAGGACTTTGTTTCGGTTTAGAGAGAAGTTAAACTCTGTCCGTGATCAAAGGTTTGCAAAGAAAATCTAGCTCTTAGATTTAGATGTGTCTCCGACCGAAGACAAGGACGTTTTAGTAGACAAAACAATGTTGTGACCGGTCATTACTTACCCAGACATATTTTTCAAAACCTAAGCTACCCTGACCAGTGTAACAGTTTGTCTTCTCCTTATCTTGTTTAGTTATCCTGTAGCCTTGCTCAAAAATTCTGAAAACAAACATTAATTTCAAAACCACTGTAAATAGATATGGGTGATTTAGCAAAAAAGCCAGGTGTTTCGTTATGTCCGTCTGCAAGAGTACGAGAATTTGAA